ATCAGAAATAGCACAATAGCGGAAATAGTGGTCTGCGGGGTCAGACTGATTGGTGTCCAAAATCAGGCATTTCAGACTGCGTAAGCTCTGGCCCATGAGCAAGAAGCACTACCTCCAGGTCCGGCTCCGAAGCATGCCAGGGCACCTCAGTTTGTCCACACCTGGGCACGCCCAACAGTCCAGCACACAGAGAAGAAACCACCATGAAGGCAACCCCTAGGGCCGTGGTTCTCCAGCTTCCTCAAGCCACGATCCTTTCAGACAGTTCTTCATGTGGCGGTGCCCCCAACCATAACATTATTTTCGTTGCTACTTCATCACTGTCATTTTGCTACCGTGATGAATCCTCATGTAAATGTCTGATAAGCAGGATGTATTTTCATTGTTACAAATTGAACATCATTAAAGCATAGTGATGAATCACAAAAACAATATGTAATTATATACTGTGAAACACCTGTGTTTCCCGGTGGTCTTAGGTGACCTCTGTGAAAGGGCCGTTTGACCTCCAAAGGGGTCTCAACCCCCAGGTTGAGAACCGCTGCCCCAGAGTCACGTGGCTCAGAGCCGATGGAAACCTCCTGTTCTCCCGGCCTGACGGCCCACGCCAGCACCCTGCCTCCTGCAGGTACCACCTGCCCACCTGTGCAGAGAGACAGTGTTCACAGGTAACCCTGTGAGTTGCACCTTGAAACACCCCTGCAGAAAGACATAAAAGGGAGGGAGAAATTGCCGGTGTGGGGAAGGAGCTAGTGGAGATGACCTCATGCCCCACATCGCCGGGCGCCCAGCTTTGAAAGTCTCAGGCAAATGGGCTATGAAGACGGAACCAGCAAGTGGCAGAAGGTAGCCCAGAGCGAGGCTGACAATCGGTGTGCACGTTCAAAAGGGGATGGGTGCGGAACCAGCAATCTCCCCCTCACTGCCAGCAAGTTGTTTCTGACGCACTGCAACCCTGTATGTCTTTGTTTTAATCAGGTTATGGGGGCTCCCACAGCTCTTATCACAATCCTTCCAGCCACCGTGTCAAGCACATTTGTACATTTGTTGCCAACACCCTTCTCCAAACATTTTCTCTCTACTTGGGCCCTTGCTATTAGCTTCTCATTTTTTCCCTTCCCTCCCTCATGAACCCTTGACAATTTACAAATTATTATCATTTATATAAAACTCTGCCTTATACAGAAAAAAAAGACAATTATTATTTTTTCATGTCTTATACTGACCGATGTCTCCCTTCACCCACTTTTCTGTTGTCCATCCCCCTGGGAGGGGGTTATAGTTAGATCACTGGCATCAGTTTCCCTTTTCTCCCCCCACCTTTCCCTTACTCTCAACATTGGTCCTGAGGGTTTATCTGTCCTGGATTCCCTGTGTTTCCAGTTCTTTTCTGTACCTGTGTACATGCTCAGGTCTAGCCGGATTTGTAAAGGTAGAATTGGAGTCATGATAGTGGGGGTAGGGAGGAAGCATTAAAGAACTAGAGAAAGTTGTATGCTTCATCGGTGCTATACTGCACCCTGACTTGCTCATCTCCTCCCTGCAACCCTTCTGTAAGGGGATGTCCAATTGCCTACAGATGGGCTTTGGGTCTCCACTCCACACTCCCCCTCACTCACAATGGCATGATTTTTTTTGTTCTGGGTCTTTGATGTCTGATACCTGATTCTATCAACACCTTGTGAACGCAGAGGCTGGTGTGCTTCTTCCATGTGGGCTTTGCTGCTTTTCAGCTAGATGGCCGCTTATCAACAAGCCTCTTTTTTTGATAGCTGGGCACCATCAGCTTTCTTCACCACATTTGCTTATGCACCTACTTTGTCTTCAGCGATTGTGTTGGGAAGGTGAAAATCATGAAATCCCAGGTTGCAACCGTGTATGTCTTTATGGGAAGAAAAAGCCTCACCTTTTCCCCACAGAGCAGCTGGAGGGTTTGAACCTCCAACTTGTGGTTAGCTGTCTAACTCATAACCTCCTACTGGACCCCGAGTTCCTTGATCATCATTAGGCACCACTGTTTCACTATTACAACTTCACAAGTAGTCTGGCCATCTATAAAACTGAGATGAACCTTCACAGAGGAAACAAGACAAGCAAATGAAACAGAGACCCGACAGAAAGTACAAGTTCCACAGACAGGGGGAAAATCATGAATGACAGCATCAATATTAAATCAACCTGAAAGGAAAATCTGAAGAAGCAACGAGTACTGTATACACTGCATATGTTCTTGAGGTGTAAGAAGGTTCCGATCCCTATTCTGTGATTCATAAAGCCCTAGAAGGGCTTGAAGCACTTGCTGAGGGAGATCAAGGGCAGTAGCCTTCGTTCAGTATGTATTACAACTCCATGTACACAAAACCAAAATCCTCACAAGTGGACCAGCAGGTAACAACATCGTGATAAATGGAGAGAAAGACTGACGTTGTCAAGGATTTCCCCTTGCTTAGAGCCACACAATGCTCATGGAATTAACAGCCAAGAAATCAAACAACATATTGCACTGGGTGAGTGTGCTGCACGAGTTCTCTTTCAAGTGCTGAAGGGCGAGGACGGCATCATTTTGAGGACTGAGGTGCGCCTAACCCAAGCCACAGATTCTTTTCAATCGTCTCAGGCGCACGTGATGGTTGGACACTGAGGAGACCACAGAAGAATGCATGCATTTGAGTCAAGGTGCTGGTGAAGAACACTGACAGTACCGTGGACTGCCAGAAGAACCAACAAATCCGTCTTAGCCAGAAGGCTCCTTAGAAGCGAGGATGATGAGACCTGATGTCACGCCATCAGAGGCACTGGGCAAGAACCTCGTGCTTGGTCCAGCAGCAGGACAGGGAAAGAGAAGACTGGAGAGGAGCTGGACTGACACAGCGGCCACATCACTGGGCTCGAACCGAATGGCTGACGATGACACAGGACCGGCCGTGTCTCATTCGGTTATGCATAGGGCTGCTGTGAGTCAGAACGGATTCAACAGCACCTAATTAGCCACCAGGCTTGTTACTCAACCCAGCTTTAAAATGTGGTTGATAATCGTACCTCAGAGAGGTATAATGAGAATTAAATGGAGATGCTTGAAAGGCATTTACCTGAGACTTGGTACTTAACTGGTTCAATTAAATGATTATTGTTCTCATTATTAAGGACAGCCTGAGGATTCTCATTCTCTCCCTCAGACAAGAATTTCAACTGGTTCCATACCTATCCCATTAACCCCCTGGTAGAGTCCAGACCTGACTCCTATCTGCCACAGATCCAGTTCTGTGATCCTAACATTTTCCTTAGCATGTCAAAAAGAGTTGCAGTCACAACTCAAAAGGTGGGACCATAGTTTTCACAGGGCATGTAAAGTGCTAGCAAGGAGCCCAGGCTGCACAGTGGTTAGAGCGCTTGGTGGCTAAGTACTCTGTTCGAAAGCACCAACCACTGCATGGGAGAAAGGTACAGCAGTCAGCTTCCACATTAAGATGTGTATCACCTTGGAAGTCCCGTGGGTAATTTCACTGTCTCACAGGGTCACTGTGAGTCACACTAGACGCGACAGCTATGGGTTGAAATGGCTCACATCTTGAAAACACAATGACCAAAGCCTCAAATTCAAACCCTTTGATCTAATAACTTGTGACCGATTATTTATATTCAGGGGTACTAAATTATACCTCTCCGTCAGTCATATGGCAGGACACAATTGAGGCTATCTGCTCTCGTAAGGGCTCCACCACCTCAGAAGCCCCACAGGAGCACTGTGGGTCAGAACCAAAGGCGATCCGCACACGCGAGGAGCCCCCATGAAGAGGCCTGGCACAGCAGATGCACCAGGAGCTCAAACAACAGTGGTGAGGATGGCCACTGCTGCGTCCTGTTGGACCCAGGCTGCTGTGAGTGAGCGGGGCTAACAACAGGCAGAACTGATCGCGTGGCAGAGTTTGCTTTTTTTAATAAATCATACAATGGAAAAATTAGAAACCAACTGCCCAAACCCTGGAAGACATTAAACCGGTCTATCCATAGCACACACTTCCCACAAACAAAGTTAGAGCCCTTTGGTCTGGGTGCCAGCGACTTAACCACAAGGTCGGTTACCCAGAGGCTCTCGTAAGAAAGGCCTGGTAATCTCCTTCTGAAAACTCAGAGCACAGCTCTGCTCTGACCCGCCCAGGCGGCCACGAGTCGAAGCACAGCTGGATAGCAACTGGCTTTTAATTCCAAGATATTGCATGACACCTGTGAATACCCAGAATACAATGTTAGGTGAAAGCAGCCAGGGTACAAACAACTATATACGTGCAGAGAAAAGGGACAGAATGAAAAGCATCCAGATGGTGGCTTTCTCTGAAAAATGCGAGTTTGTCATGTTCCTTCTAGTTTTCTAAATGTCATAGGGTTAGCACATTATTCTTTTTATCAGAAACAAAACATGGTTTGTTTTTTTAATGATTTAAGCCCAATTCTTGCTGTGAAGCAGTAATTTAATAAAATCAGGGTCGAAATGGCACCTGGCTGACTGTGGTCTCGGACTTCCTGGGAACATGCCACGGGTGAACTGCCATATCTTGACACAAATAATGCACCGCCTCCTGGCACTTTGGTTTCCGATGTGCGCTATCGTGTGGACACCCTATCTGCGTAGGCACTTTACTTGCTTCTGCACCTTGTATGAGAGAGGACAATAACTATTAAGAGTAGAACAACAGTACGCAATTACTGTCCCCATGTGAACCATTTAACATCTGGATAACCCAAGAGTGTAGACGGGTAAGTTGGAGCCTCATGATACGGTCTCTCCAGCAGGAATGCTGAGTACACAGGCCAGAAGCCAGATCTTTTAAGCATAGTTCCGGTAAGAAGTGGAAGCAGGGCGGAGAGGAAGAATCGGAGTGGCCCTAACACTGACCCTGAACTTCTCTGTGTGGCTTCTGCACCTGATCAGATAGGGGACTGAGCAGGCCTAAAGGCCCAGCAAGCATTCCTGAGGAGGAGTGGAGAGGATTTTCTCTTACCTGAGCACAACTGTTCGATCTTTGTCAGATTCAACTGCAGGGACTCATTGATCCAAGCCAACATGTCATGTCGACTCAGGTTATCGCTGGTGACTGACGTCGAGTATACATTCACTGCCATCTTCTAGAACATGCCAGGAAGAGAGAAGGGAGCTCACGTTATATCAGGCATGCAAGTGAGGGCATGCATTTCCTGGACAGACACCCAGAGCAGACTTGTGAAAACATTCACTTTCTAAGCCTCACCTTTTTTTTTTTAAATCATTTTATTGGGGGCTCGTACAATTCTTATCACAATTCATACATACATCCATTGTGTCAAGCACATTTGTACATCATAACCTCACCTTCTTTTCAGTCAGGCAAAACCAGCATCACTAGGATTCCTGCCACTAGTCTGGCTGGAAGCGATGTGCCCAACGCCAGCCAGCCTCAAGCTGAGAGGACGTTTTCATGTGACTGTGAGAAAGGTCTAAAGGAACAGAGACACTCAGGGGTGATTAGGGGCTTTAGGAAGGGAGGCTTCTGCCAAGGCAAATTCTAAACAATTTCTCTGTTTAGAAAATGTCGGTCTAAGCTTAACTATTAACATACCAAAATATCTATACCCTATAACAAGAATTACCTAATTACTACAGAGGTACTAATGGCTGACCTCACAATCCTGAGCCCCTGGCCCTAATTCTCTACTGAGCCACCTACATCTGTGCAGGGCTACTGAGCACCTGGCTCAGCCATCCAGCCCTCACTTTTGAATAGCAGGAGAGAGGGCGGCCCAGACAGATAAGTGACTTAGCAGGCCTGACCTTCAAAACCCCTCATGGCATTTGGCACACAGTACCCTGCACTCAGGGGACACTTTCTCCAGGTTGGCAGGGTAGTGTCAAACGAGAAAGAAGGAAAAAAATGTATTGACATAAACTGTTCTTCAGATAAGCAAACCATCAATATTCTAACACTCCCAAACTCAAGTAGATAAAAAGCCAAGCTATGTAGGAGGCCAAGAGGATTTGGTTCCTGACACTACTGAGAAATTAATCCCTCCTTGTGTTCAAAGGAGCAGGAGCCCTGGTGGCATACTGGGTGGTGCACTGGGCTGCTAACCACTGGCTCAGCAGTTTGAAACCAACAATGGCTCCTTGGGTAAAAGACGAGGCTTCCTACTCCCACAGAGTTACAGTGTCAGAAAGCCAGAAGGGCAGTTCTAACCTGTCCCATAGGGTTGCGTGAGTCGGCAGTGACGTGTTATCAGTGAGCTTTTTGGTTGCCAAGGCTTTTCATTCAACCCTCTTTACTGGTATTTTTCATACTGTGTGTCATTACCTGTTCATCTCCTGAAATGCCCCGGAACCAGCTCGGGGCCAGGGGCCACCAGCTTGAGGCAAAGAACTGAATACTTCAGCCCTGGACCGCCGGGTGTTAATGTGCGGCTACAGGGGAGGCCTAAATGAGGTCCTATCTATCATACATGGCCTGGTATCTCTCACAGACGAGGGATTCACCACGCAAGGTCCTGGCAGGAGCCACGTCTCACTCATCTTCACATTCCTGAGCCAAACAGAATGCCGAACCCTGCCATCTCTCCTTGAGACTGGCTACAGCAGCCTTCAAACAAATGTGTCTCAATCTGTTCTTCGCACAGCAGCTGGAAAGAGACTTTTCTGAATCCTAAGTCAGAACAAGTTGTCTCCTTAAAAAGCCCTTGAATGAATGAGTCAATGAATGGAAGGCAAACTGTTTGCAAAAATGCCGTTTATCACTGGAACCAAAGAGACAGCGCCAGGCTAAGTGCTGGTTAATATATTTTGGAGATAGTCACGCATCCTTCCCTGCCATAAAATGTAAGCAGCTGGTAAAGCCACGTGTCTCCTGACCACACCCCAGCTCAGAAAAAAACGTTAATGGCCCTCCATCCTCATCTAATACAAAACTCTTTCATTAGCAGTACTTTAATACTCTGCAGCCACTAAACACATGGAGTTAGGCACCCTGCGGATGTGCAACAAGAGTCCACTGACTCAGCCTATTAATTGGCTCTTCCTGGCAGTCAAAAGAGCCTAGTTCTCAGCGCTACAGCTCACCCTGCCCCCTTAACAATTCCACCAGCTTGACAACAAGGGAAGACCCCGTGCCGACCACACTAGCCTCACTCTCACAAAGCAGCCTGATCCAGGTCTTAACCATCTTGTAAAAGCTCCCTCCTTGCCCATCCATGCACTCCCTTCCTTCAGTACTGCAATGCTGCAAGCACTCTCCCTGTTGCTTTCAAGGTCGTCAGATTAGGCCCTTTGGAGAGAGAGGGACCAAATTGTGTGCCCCTGAAAGGCAGGGTGGTTGTCAGCATACAGGTGGGGCCCAGGGGCTCTTTCTGGTGCCACGTCCCTCCCTTGGATGGGGGCAGTGGTGCCAGGCTCTGCCCTGAAGCAGGGATCAGGAGAGCATTTTTCATAACCTGGCTTTACTGCCTTAGTCATACTTATTATATGGAATCACCTTGGCCCATGTACTCATTTTCTTAGTTACTCTGTCTCCCCACCAAACGTCAACTCGGGGCAGGCCAGTGCCTTTCCAGGGTGTCTAACCCGCACTTAACACAGTGCCTAGCATTTAGACGGCACTCAACAAAGGATGGAAGACGACCTGACTTACTTTTCGTCACACATCTTAACTCGGGAGCTTTGGGCACAGGATGACCATTGTCCCATTTCATAGATGAGGAAGCTGAGGCCTCGAGGGGTTAAAGCCCAAGGTCACAGGCAGAACATCCACCCCGGGCCTGAATCCAAAACCTGAAAACTCGTTATCGGGCAGTATTGCCTCCTACAGTGTCCGCATGGGGGGCGGGGGGCAGATTTTCCCGACAGCGCCCGCCTACAACACACACACACAACAGACAACCTCCTCCACCCTCGCCAACCGGGCTGGGCTAACCTGGACCTCGGGCCGGAGAGCGCCGCCGATGCCCAGAAGCCCTCACGCCGCCAAGGGGTAGCCCCCACTTCCGGCCCGAGGCCCCGCCCCCACGGGCGGCGGAGCGCGCTTTCCGCCCCCCACCCAGTCCGCACGCGCCGGGTCACGGCCCCGCCCTTCCCCCCCACCGCCGCACCCCACCCCCCGAAACCGCAGCGCCCGGTGCAACGGCCCCGACACCACGGCCCGTCAGGGCCGAGTCCCAGCCCCCCCCCCCCCCCCCCGCCCCCCCCCCGGCTGCCCGCACGGCCCTGAGCCCGCGATCCCCCAACAGCTCACCGGCTCTCAACTGAACCTCGTCCAGTGCCCGTACCCGGCTCCGGTTCCGTCTTCGTCTCGTTCAAACCGCCCTGCCCCGCCCGCGCGCCCGCGCGATGACCTCACACGCACGCCCTGCTACGCATCGACGTAAAGGCTCGTTACCGCCCGCCGGCTCCTTTTATAGAGAAGGGATCCGTCGCGCGCTGGCGGGCGGGGCCGGCCTTGACTGACGGCTGGAGCGTCTAGGGGGCGGGGCGCCGGCTGCCGGCAGTGTGGCCACGTGATCGGCTGCTGCCAATGAAGGCCCTTCCGGCGCGAGTGGGACTCCCCCTAGTGGTCCGCTTAGAAATTCTTCTGAGACGTAACCGAAGACAAATACATTGGTTTTACCAGCAAGATTATTGTTAATTCTAGCTATGAAGACCCTCTGCCAGGGCTTCTCAACCTTCCTAAGGCCGCGACCCTTTCACACAGTTCCTTATGTTGTGGTGATCCCCCAACCATGAAATTATTTTCGTTGCTACTTCACAACAGTAATCTTGCTACCGTTAGGAATCGTCATGACTATGCAGGATGTATTTTCATTGTTACAAGCTGAACATAATTAAAGCAAGTGATTAATCACAAAGCAACATGCACTTATGTATTGTGAAATATTTGTGTTTTCCGATGGTCTTAGGCAACCCCTGGGAAAGGGATCGGCACCCACAGGTTGAGAACCACTGCTCTAAGCTCATCAGCTGGTTTATTTTCTTATTAGGTGCTCTGGTGGTACAGAGTTTAAAGTGCTGGCTTCTAAGTAAAAAGATGGTCCCTTGAACCAGCAGATTCGCTGAAAGCAGTGTCCTGTCAACTCTCTGGGGCGTTCTATTTGGTCTTATAGGGTCTCTCTCTAGGAGTCCGGATGACACCACAGAGGTTTGAACTCTGGTTCAAACCGTATTGCGGTCAATTAACTAACTTATTCGCATCTTTATGGTCTGTCTTTCCAGTCAATCCCATGGAAGCAAGACCTTATGGTTACTCTTGCCAGATTTCAATTCTCAACAGACAGAGTAAATCACACCAATTTTATGAGAAGGATCCCAATGGATGATACAGTGGTTAAAGCCCTAGACCATTAACCCAAAGGTTCACAGTCACTCCCCACGGGGAAAGATGTGGCAATCTATTTTCCATAAAGATTTACGGCCTAGGAAGCCCCCACTGGGTTACTTCATGGGAGTGGACTGATACATCATCATACAATCACTAGGACTCAGACTGACCTGGGTCCTGGACTTGGTATTTTAAAGAGCTCAGAGAGGTCAATCTACTTGCCCAGGATGACAGAAGTGTGTCTAGCTTTTCAAACTGATTTCTTCTAGATATCATTTATGTGTGTGTTCAATAAATATCTCCAGATCTGGTTCTGGGAATTTGATGGTGAGCAAAGTCCAAGCACAACCTCTAACCTCTTAGATGTCTCGTTTTGCAGAGGAGACAGAGAAAATGACACAAATAACTAGTTAATGTTTTAATAACTAGTTAATTACAAGCTAAACTTAGTGCTAGACAGCACCTGTACTTCCTGGAGCAGGACCCTGGAATGTCCTTCTGAGTTAAACCTCACCCAATTAGTTGGTGAAGCCCTGGGCGGTGTTCAAGCATGCATTGGGATACTGGCTGGGGCAGGTCAGTGGAGAGGCATTTCAATTACCAGTTCTGTCGGTTATCTCTTCAGTGTATGGCACTCCAAGAGCACATCAAGATACCTGGTCTTACTCTGGCCATGAAAGCCTTCCCAAAGATGCTCCACTGCTACCCAGTCCATTGACAGCAACCCTCTCCAGGAACACCTAGCCTCATGTTTCTGTGGCCCAGTGGCTGGTGCGATTAAACCACTGATTTTGAGGTCAGCAGTCCAACCACTACGCCTATACCATTGCTCTTCCAGGACAGGGCACTTGCCTTGAAAGATGAGTTGACCTGGTCAAAGGTTTGGAGTAAGAGAAGCAACAGCAATGAGCGCTGCTAACAAATGCTTACAGCAATAGTGATAATAGTGCCAGTATCCTTAATTGAACTGAGCCAGGATCCTTGAGTCAAGATGCTTGTTTGTGAGTGCTTTGGGAAATATGTGTGACTCGTGTGTTGCTCATGAAGATAGTGGTTCCAAGAGACGTTGTGGCTTTGGTAATTGGCAATTTGATGAGAAGTCTTTAAATCCTGACTCTGCTAGGTGTTAGTATTCAATGTGTATAGAATTCTTAGACTGCTCCAGCAAACTGAGTGCTCAAAACATATGATTTCTGATTGGCAGCAATTAATCCATTTGATTAATGTCAACATAACCAACTACTATCAGTCGCGTGGATGGCCATCTGGGGTGGGGTGAGGACATTTGGGGGGGACACAAGGAAGCCAGAAAAAGCATTAGGAGACAGGCTGAAGTGCTTGGACCTGGCGATGAAGACGCGGGGAGTCAAAAGAGGTTTCTCTAAGGGCTTCCAAAATGAAGTGCTTCTGTTACTCCTGAAGAGATGTGACAGAGCTGTGTTACTGACCCAAGGTCAGTCTCCTCCTCCATGACAAGGTGAACTAAGGTGATCTGAGTCAGATTAAGCCTTGATTGCAAAAACCTAGAGAAAGAAAATGTTTATCTTTGAAAACAAGCATTTCCACCCCAATACTTTTCTATTTACTTTTGCTGCAACTATCTCCATGAATGTGGTAGAACATCCAGGGGGCAATTATAAAAACTTGTTAGACATGGCCAAACAACTTGAGGAAATGAGTCATTGGGTCAAGGGGTTCAAGACCAGGGTCTCTGCACACCGAGGTCAATTGGCATAATAATATGGTCTGCATAGATCATGTTCTATATCCTGCTCTGGTGAGGAGTGACTGGGGTCTTAAAAACTCATGAAGAGCCATCTAAGGATCAATGATTGGTCACTCCCTCTCTGGAGAAAACAAGAATGAAGAAAATTGAAGACGTGTGGATATACAGTGAACCCTCGCCACTTCGCACTTCGACTTCCACGGCTTCACTCTATCGCGGTTTTTGCGTAACAGCGCATGCTCTGTCATTACTGCCACTGATTGGCTCATACTGTACACGCTTCTGTCTGTATCGCTACGTATCAGAGCTACGTATCAGATGCATTTTTGCTTTTGTACAGTGTACTGTAATTGTTTGCACTTTTTAAGAAGTTTTATCTAAGCCCTATGATGGCTCCTAAACGAGCTGCTTCTGCTAAGCCTTCTGACAATAAAAATAAGCGCCAGAGGAATATGCTCACCATCCAGGAAAAGGTAAAACTTTTGGATATAAGGAATCCTACTTCGCAGAATTTCATTTATCACGGTAGGGTCTAGAACCGATTAACCGCGATAAATGAGGGTTCACTGTAATGAGTCCAATGGACTAAGGGACCACATGAACATCAGCCTCCACAGCCCTGAGACCAGAAGAACTAGATGGTGCCGACTATCAACTGCTCTGAAAGGAATCACAAGAGGGAGAAGAAAATGTAGGATACAACTTGAAATTGTGAAAAAGGTCAGGCTGACTGCTCAGATAAGAGACTGGTGGAACCCCCAGACTATGACCTTTAGGAACCCTTCAGATCAAGAAATAAACTCACCCAGTTGGCTATGTATTTCAGGCAGCCAATAGATCTATCCATAAGAGGAACACTAGGGGAGTACACATTACTTAGAATAAGCAGCCACTTGAGACCAAAAAAGCAGCATTTACCCAAGACAAAGTTCTGAAGGGTTCGAAAAGGAGTGGAACACAGGGAAGAAGTGGAATCAGTTATGTACATGTCCATTGTGGGGATCACAATCAATGACATGAAACAAACGTATGAATTGTTGAGTGGAAAACCGTTCTGATCTATACACCTTCACCCAATTCACAATAAAGCTAAATAATTTATTAAACTCGCTTATCATGCGAGAAATAGCTATGGAGATGTTAATTTGCCTTTAGGCAGCTGTCTTAAGGAGTCTTGCTGATGTTCAAGTGGCAGATTTGGCAGTTCACACCCACCAGACACTCTCGTGGCAAAAAAATGTGGTAGCCTCAGTCACAGGAGTCAGGGGAGAGACCCAATACAAGAACCTAGAAGGCCTAAGAGAGAAATCACAGACCACAAGCCTGGCAGAGCAGGCACCCCAGCACAGGAGTGGCATACCTAAAGTGTAAAACTTGGTCCAATGCTGCCTCACCTCCTGCCACTTGCCTCCCACCCAATGAAATGGAGTCCACTCCCTGAAGGCCCGGAGAATCCTTCTCCCCAAAAGCTCCTGAGAGTGCTAGGTACCAAAGCTAACACCACCCACTCTGCCCAGTAAGCAGTCAAGGGGACCAAGGACAAGGGTGGTGAGCAGTTTCCACCAGCGGCTGTCACTATGGGCAGGGACACTAGTCATTCTGTCCTGAGACTTTATTATTCATACAACACTACTAAAACCTGGGTGTGACCACTTTTACCTGCTGACCATAGGAACACTCCAGATTAAAGGCATTAAGAAAAAAAAAATCAGTAACATCTACCTAAGCCAAGCATCTTAATTCTTACACCCAGATTCCCACAGCAGCCCTAAGGCAGTGCTATTTTATTGTCCCAACCTTTGGCAGATGGAAAACCCCAAGAGGTTGTCATTCGCCAAAAACAATGGGGCGACTGCAAGCAGAAGGCAGCTTCAGAAAAGGCAGAAAAAGCTGCTTCTGCCCCTCAGGTATGCATTGCCAGAGCTGGGGAGTCACTCAGACCTGGATGAATACAGTGATCTAACTCTCCAGCCAACCAGCAGGACAGGAGGCTAAGGAAACCCAAAGCCCCCTCACCTGGGGGGCTGGCCCATCTCCTTTCTTGTGCTTTCGAGGCCGGAACTGTTTATTTCGCTTCATTCTGTCTTGACATCTGGGTGCAGCACTGTACACAAGATGGCTTAATTGAGCAAGGAAGGGCCCTGGGGTCTCAATTTCGAGCTAATTGCAATGTTCTCCCCATGGCAACGTGCACCTGTGCTGCTCCAGCCCAGTGAGGCCTTTCTAATAACATAGTTAGGAATGGAACCTGAAGGGACACATCAATCAAGATGGGCGTTGTCTTAATGCACCTTACATGTGAGGAAGCTGAGGCATGGAGAGATGCCAAGTTCTACTGCCGCTTAATGAGCACGATATAAACTATTTTAGGTCCTGAGTGGTATGTGATAAACTCAGATGTCATAGAATGTTCCCTAAGATGGAATTTAAATCTGAGGTATTAGTCTACCCTGAGGACCATATCCTGTCCTTAAGACGGAGCACAGGTGGAGTCATGCAGGCAGCCCCAACCCAGCGGCACGAGGCACTCGTGAGTGATGGACCTAAGGCGGTGTGGATGCACAATGGTGCTGGGCAGTGCTGGCATTCAACAGGGGCTTTCCTACTTTGGTATATAAGTGAA